AACACCTACAGTCAAGGACATCAAAATTATGGCTTCAATTCATGGATTTTGTCTCATCAATGTGTATGTTCATTAGAGCTGAAAGAACAGGTGATTGGCACCCGCATTTGAAAGCTTCACAAGACATGCTTCCCTGGTTTGCTGCGACAGGACATAACAATTATGCCAAGTATTGTCGTCTATATATTCAAGATTTTGTACATCCATGCCCCTGTCTTCACAAACCACTAGAGGATGGCCTCTTTACGATTCATCGGAGTCAAAAGTTATTCTGGAGTGGCACTTGGTCTGATATGGTGATCGAACAATCTCTCATGAGGTCAGGGAAGTCATCAGGCGGTCTCATAAACATAACTCACAAAGACAGTGCAAGGACAAGATGGCTTCTATCAGCACACATTGTTGCACAGTACACAGAGGAGTTGAGAATGTTGACAAATACATCATCAAATTCATGGAGTGATCATCATCGAGAACTAAATCCAGGAAGAATGAATCAAGATTACATTGACATGAACAAATTCTTAGATTTCCTAAGAAGTCGCAATCCATTTACTGGAGTCCAGTCTGAACTTCGCAACATAGCTACTTGTGTTATTGCTGATGACAGGGTTAATGCTGACAGAACAGTCAGTATAGGAAGTTCAATACAATCTCTAATTACAAACCATTCTTTTGGAGATGTTTCAATGAAGAAAAGTCAACAAGTGGTGACATTTAACAACATGAAACGTGCAGTAACACTAACAAGTGGAGAAAGACTTCGCATGTCATCACTGAAGTTGTATCAACGACTTCTCGCTATTGCCTACACGATAGGACCACCATCTCCATCTGTGTTATGCCATGAACTTTCGTCTGTGGCACCTGCCTTGTTCCATGATGATGGTAGCACGAGAAAATCAACGAAATCACAACTCGCCAAATGCATAATGAAGATGACTTCAAATGTTGAAACTGATGTTCCATCAGTATCAACAGTCTTTGATGGATGTGCGTTACTTCAACAGTTGAAATGGCCAAAGGTTGGGACAATGTTGGACGTCTGTGAAATATTCCTCTCTACGATTCATCACAGGTCATCCTTGAATCATGAGGTAACTGTTGTGTTCGACAGTTATAATGTAACAACAACAAAAGATCAAGAACAGAAGCGCAGAAAGCTCTCAAGAACTGCAATGGCTGATGTTATGCTGAAGTCAAATACTCCAGTTCCAAGTGATGCAGCAAGTTTTCTTGCCAACAAGAAAAACAAACAACAAACAATTAATCTCCTTTCATCATACATACAAGAGAACTCACGTGTGTTAGTAAGCCATGCAGGGGATGAAGGGGACGCTGATGTTGTTATTGTTCAAAGAGCTGTGGAGTTGGCAGAGAAACATGAAACCGTCCATGTCATTTCTGATGATACTGACATTTTTGTCCTTCTGATACATCATGTGGATTCCCAGAGCAATGTTTACATGAAGACAAGATCAAGAACTATGTCAATAAAAGAAGCAAAACATTGCCTAGGAGAACAATTGTGTCACAATCTTCCTTTCCTTCATGCAGTATCAGGTTGTGATACAACATCTTCCTTCTTCAGCTTTGGAAAATCTAAACATCTGGCTTATTTCACTTCCGCAGAGCAATTACATGAGAAAGTCACAGTTTTTGGAGAATCATCTGTTCCTCTCCAAGTAATCAAAGAAGTGGGAGAACAGTATGTCTGTGGACTCTATGGTGGGAAACAAAACGAGAAACTGGATGAGTTGAGATTCAAAAATGTAAAATCAACCAAGTTCACAAGTGTAGAGCGCATGCCTCCAACAAGCCGGGCATGTTATTTTCATTGTCTAAGGGTTCATCTGCAAGTGTCAACATGGAAATCTCTTAAAACTGTTTTGGACAAAGAAACACATGGCTTCAAATCAGTTGAAGGGAGTATAGTCCCAATTATAACAGACATGCCTCCAGCCCCTCCAGAACTCTTGAAGGAAATAATACATCCTGTAGTTGTGTCAAAAGGGGGATTCAATGCAGCATCCACTGCAAATGTGAAAGTAACTGTGAGAATAGACAGGACTTAAATGCAGAATATGAAAACTATTAATAGACTTCATATCATGTTAATTGTGCTCTCATAGGTGAAACTGGCATGTGTTCTTTGTAAATATACTTCAAATAATGTCCATAATATTCATAGTTCCAGTTCATATAGCACACTCAAACATTGTATATGGAAAGCAATGAAGTTTGTCTTTTATGTGCGTTTCATAAAGTTGAAAACTGCAAAAAAATATGATGCTGTTATCCTTTTCTTATAACTAAAATGATATGTAAATTATTAGATAATAATAATAGTGAGTGAGTATAGTTTTACGCCGCTTTTAGCAATATTCCAGCAATATCACGGCGGGGGACACCAGAAATGGGCTTCACACATTGTACCCATGTCGGGAATCGAACACGGGTATTCGGCGTGACGAGCGAACGCTTTAACCACTAGGCTACCCGACCGCCCCAGATAATAATAATAATAATAATAATAATAATAATAAAAAAATTTAAACCATAATTATATCCACAGTTCTTGAAGATAGTGAAAGAATTCAGAGGATACGAAAGTTATTGATATCTTTTTAAGATTTACAGACATAATTATTAAAATTATAATAAAAACTATTCATAAAGACATGTTAATATATATTATTACATTGTTGAACTTTGTAAGCCTTAATGAGTGCATTAAGATTTGTGTAACATAGTGATATGAATACACATTTGTTCTAATTTGGCCGAATAAGGGCACAAGTATAGGTATGATAGGCCTATTTTCAAATGGGTGTAGACAATTTTCCTCAAGTCTGAATTTGTCTGGGTTTTGTGTGTACCATAACTATACCTTAAGGAAACAGAAAAACATAAAATTTGGTTGTTCTGTAAAATGTCCGGGTACGCCCGATAAATAGTGATTCAGGTCCAACCTACAAAAGAACAATTCTATAACATTCATAAAAATATATATATGCATAATTAGATTAATCAGATTAAAAAGATGTAATGCATGGCCACATATCCACATCAATCAAATTTACATACCTTTCATTAAAGACTGGTCCTTTCAAACACGTAAAATCCAAACAGACTGGGTTAACATATCTCCAGAAGAGCTTGCCACAAGTCTGCGGTCCTTTTATGCTGAGATTAGACCGAGAACAAAGTCTCAGTCCGATGATGTTTATCACAAAAACACAATGCGGAACATTCGTTCTGCACTCAATAGGCACCTCAGGGTTATCGGGAGAGATATTGACATTGTGAAAGATAAGGCATTCCACAAGGCTAATGATTTGTTGAATGGTCAACTGAAACAAAATGTCAGAGCTGGCCTGTCCAAACCAAGCACAAGCCGATCATTGACAAGGGAGATATCGTTAAAATTAGAGAATATCTTAATCACGATACCCAAACATGTGTTTTGCAGAAAGTTTGGTTTGACGTAGCCATTCATTACGTCACAAGAGGCCTTGAGTTTCACTCTCAGTTGTCCAGAAGTTCGTTCACGTTTAACGTTGACGATGAAGGCAGAGAATTTGCAACTCTTACCCATGACGTAGCAGGAAAAACTAACCAGGGGGGTATTGATGATGGCGAAAGCCATGCGGCTGACAAACGCATGTATGCGACAGGCACACATAATTGTCCCGTAAAGTCTCTAAAATTGCTCATTGAGAAATCCCACCCTGTTGCAGTCAGTCTGTTCTCTATTCCAAAATCAAATGCAGTTATTGGTGATAATGTGTGGTTCTCTTCTAAACCGCTGTCTCAACGCCAATACGGGAACATAATCCGTACAATTTCCAAAGAAGCTGGGTTCAGCCGCATCTATACACCCCACAGTGTCAGGGCTACTGCTATTTAAGCGTTGAGCGACGCCTCCGTTGAATTACGCCACATCATGTTTATGTCAGGGCACAGGAACGAGGCAAGTGTCAGAAGCTACAACAGGTGTTGTACTTCTGACCAACAACACAAGGTTAGTTCCGTACTTCGAAACATAGGATTTGAGGAAGCCGCCAATCGGCAGCCATCTGCGACGGTTTCAAGGCCGCCGTCAGAAGGCGATGATGCCCAGTATTTGCCATTGTTTCAAAACCTGTCGTCACAGGTGGCCTCTTCATACGGCAACTTTATGTCCAGAAGTAGTTTTCACAACTGCCAATTCAACTTTAACTTCGCTGGTAAACAATAAACTGGCGACACAAATTCCGTCTCGACCGCTGTCGAGATTTGCAAAGTACTTGCTACACTGTATTAGTGCGCGATTTCGCCCCCAAACTGATTTCAAGTTTCACCAATGTTTGTTAAAAATTGTTCTTCAAGTTTTGTTAACTGCAGTTTATGAATTATTAAAGTATTAAACCTTATTAATGACAAAAATAGAGTTCTGTTTATTTATTGAACCTATTTCAATGGAACTACTTTTGTAAGGTGGAAGGATATGTAAACAGGAAGTCGCTAGAGGTCGGCCGTGTACTCGTATGAACGTAAAACAATGTTGATAGATTGTTGCAATAAGAGGTATGTGTACCGTAACACTTCAAAAGAAAAATTATAAGAATTGACCTTCACTTAGTGTGAGTTCATTGGAGTACAACCTTCATAGAGTGAGGGCCAAACATTGTATGAACGTCGTCGCAAGCTCCGAAGTTCATACAGTTTGGCCCTCACACTATGAAGGTTCCTACTCCAATGAACTCACACAAAGTGAATGTCAATTCTTAAGTAATAGGCGCCCTCTGGCGGGCTGCCCAGTGACAGGATTGCAATCGGAGAGTACTAAGTTCGAACCCTGTTCATATAATTTCGGACTTTGCGTTGTGTTCTACTGTGATCAGTCATGAACAGTGTACTCTCTCGAGGTTCTATGGTTTGTCAGGTTCTCAACTTTGCCAAAACAAAACTAAGACAAAATCATAATAAGATGATTTATTAAACCTAACACAATGTACAAATTAACAATAAATCAGAAAAATACAAAAAGAAAGAACTCACACACAATTAAACCTTTACTATTGGCCTAAATTTCTTTATCCTTAACTGCTAATTTATCCTATTTTCTCCTACACCTACTTGATCCTACTTCTCCCCCACACCACTATTCCAATAACTATACTAAATACAAAACCTACCTTTTAACTTATTTCTTACTTTCCAACCTACCCAAATCCTTATTTCCCCCCGAAACTTCAGACTACTAATCTCGGTCCTATCAGGCTTTCATAGGTCACGGGGTCATACAATCTTCTAAACTTCCCATTGGTCAAATGATAATTCCTAACATAGCGTGTTCGGCGACACCTAAAGATCCGAAAACACGCTACGCCAGGAAGACATGTGGACCTCGCAACCGTCATAGGAAAATTCCAATGGAATTTTACTGCCAAAACTGAGTAATAAATAGATTAATTGACTACAAGATAACGACTTCCACCAGCCCTGCTGAAGCACTGCAAAGCCATATAATTTACAACCCTTACTGTACATGAAAATTAAACTTTCCGCCATACTACCCGATAAATTACAAACTATTTTTAGTCCAACTACCACATTTCAATGTTCAATTTAGCAATGTCCTTTCAAGATACACATTGACAGATGCATATCATATAAATGTATTTTCTTATGATGCCATGCGATGCTGGTCGGCGTCATCACTTCAGACGGATGTGCAGATACAAGTTTCGGTTATAAAGTATGGCAGGAAACTGATTCCACAACAGTGCCTAACTCGTGTTATCAACCGTATGAAGAACTAACCCAGTGTCGCTGAGTATCAGTGTCTTGTATTCCTTTTGTTGTTCAGTGTGAACCATGTATGCTTGTGGTTTTGCGATTCTAAGGCAACTGGTCGTCACTGAAGAATTTTCAGTATAGTTTCACTGAAAAAGTATGGAAGGAAAACCATCTACGTCACTTTCCAATTCTAAGGACGTTCTGACCTTGTCTTCATGGTCAATCGACGCCACTGCAGTGACCTGCGTGAACCTCATGTCCTCAAAAGTATGAAGAACAGAGTTCTCATTGACGTCAATGATCCTGAACATCTTGTTGTGGAAGTCGACATTGAACCCGAGTTTGAGAGGCTCCCTCTTACGGCGTCTTATACGTCTGACCACCACACTGTCGCTTGTTGAGTTTTTTGGGCCATCCCAGAAGTCCATAGCAATGCTTGATGAGTCTGGATCTTTGAACAGACTGCAACAGAGGCAATAGTAGTTTTTACTCAATGGTGAATAAACATCTTCCTGTCCCGATTTGCATATTCCGAGGTCCGTGATCACGTCGTTGTCATCCATATAACCCAAGATAGCGAATGTGACGAGGATCTCCCAGTAGATGTTGGTCATTTGTAGGACCATGCTCGAAGCTATTCCACAAACGTTCACCCAGTTGCCTCCATTGTTACAACATCCGCCTGGGATCTCCGCATCCTCCCATTTCTCAGCTGTCACCACCAAACAGTCCTGGGATATTGCAAGTGATGAATGACAGTCCTGTGGATCCCACTTAAGTTGTGCACCTGATACAATGCAAGCAAATATTAAATGATCAACCGAGAATAAAATCAAAACAATCTTCATCAAGCAATGATGACGCAGTGTTAAATAGTTTGTTCCCTACACTTATGAAACGTAATATTAACAGGCTGAGATAAGCATTTCTTCATGAGGTAAGTTGGTGGTTATTTCCTCGGATTAGCATCACTAGAAAACAAATGAAAGAACTTTTTTTTTGTTTAACGCCGCACATTCCAGCTATATGACGGCGGTCTGTAAATAATCATGTCTGGCTCAGACAATCCAGTGATGGACCAGACCAGACCAGACAATTGACAACAAGATTTGGCCAAAATACAAACTATATATTTGATCCAGTGAACACGGGCATTGAATAATAGATACAGAACCGTAAAGACGCCCAGGATGACGTCAACGATCAAATCCTATGCCCATGTCTTACTTTGTTTATTTGTTGTTAAACGCCACACTCAGAAATATTCCAGCTATATGACGGCGGTCTGTAAATAATCATGTCTGGCCCAGACAATCCAGTGATTGACATCATGAGCATCGATCCACGAAATTGGGATTCACGCATTGACATGCGCCTTTTACGGCAAGCATGAGTTTCCGAAGACCTATCTTACCCCGGATCTTCACGGGTCGATCGATTCTGCGTTGAGTTTCATTGATTTTGTTCAAGTAATTTAATGTAAAGCACAACATTTATTGCCGATGCCTGCTCCATATGTGCGGGCCAGTGTCAAGAGAAAAACAAGAGTGTGTAGACCAAACCTGTGATGATGTTGTGTTCTGCATTGGAACTATGTTCACTTTCGGTTTCACTATCGTTTTCAATTTTTGTAGCAACATTCTCTTCATAAAAGAAACAATATTCCTCCTTTTGACTTTGCTCTAAATCACCAAGAAGAAAAGAGTTCAAAGGGAATGTCATTAATGTGAACTTTACCAAATTGTGAACAAGATTTGGTCAAAATACAAAATATATATTTGATTCAGTGAACACCATCTTCCCGAGGCAAGAGCGTTAACTGACTTTAAAAGTCCAGTTTCTACCCTTGCCGAACTAGGCTGGATTTCCTGGGCTCGATCGTAGCGCCACCAGTGGCTATTACGAGTTATGTCCATTCTATGCCTCTCCCATATGTACCAATCAGATTCCACCTCTCGTATCACATGCAAATGGTGGCGCCCAGTCAAGACGATCTGATCGACCATCAAGATCTATTTTGTGATAAAACGGTTCTAATTTCGCGAAGTACATCAAATAACGTGAGCACATTGATTAAAAACATGAAAAGATTTGAAAAATATCTGTTGACAACGAGTTGGCGATGCACATGCTTTGCAAATCCTGCAATCGACCGAACTCTGCATAACAGTTTACGAACCGGATATCGATTTCGGTGCGCGATTTTGATTGGACTATGCATAGACTCGTTAATAATCCCAGCCTTGTTCGGCAAGGGTGGAAACTTGACTTTTATAGTCAGTTAACTCGCTTGCTTCGGGAAGATGGTGAACACGGGCATTGAATAATAGATACAGAACCGTAAAGACGCCCAGGATGACGTCAACGATCAAATCCTATGCCCATGTCTTACTTTGTTTATTTGTTGTTTAACGCCACACTCAGAAATATTCCAGCTATATGACGGCGGTCTGTAAATAATCAAGTCTAGACCAGACATTCCAGTGATTGACCCCATGAGCATCGATCCACGCAATTGGGATACGATGACATTCATCAACCAAGTCAGCGATCCTGACCACCCGATCCCGTTAGTCGCCTCTTACGACAAGCATGGGTTGCTGAAGACCTATTCTACCTCGGGTCTTCACGGGTCCGTATGCCCATGTTATGGCTACTACCCACCTGTTGATTTGTCCCCGTTGCTAGGGGTTAGGGTCGTGTTTGTAGGGGCTACCGATGCACCAAGTAGTGTTGTGAAGTCAACTCTTAGATTCTCTGCAAACACTTCACCATGTGTATCACTGGGTACGCCATGCTCAAGGGAAACGTCATCCATTCTAGCCAGTCTACAAATGCAGCAAATAACATTTATTGTGAGTGGTCAAAGCATGAACGTATAATTATATATTTTACTCACGTCAAATCACTAATTATCTATATCTCACAGATCCTTGTACGTTTAACCTGGCATTGCGAATATTGGAACATCTCAAAAACCTAAATGAAAATTTCTTAATACCTCAAGGAACCGCAATACCACTAACTAAACTTGGGGGGGGGGGGGGGGGGGGGGGCAAAAGAAACATTACCAACATTAACTGATTTGCCACTTTGAAACAAAGATGACAACCTGTTCAAAAAAAGTAAAGAACACATCTCACGAATACAGCCTTCATGTTCTCTGTCGTTCTTTGCACGTGCTTTGCGGATTTTGGGAGATATTGGTGTTTTTCAGCAATTTAAAAAAAATTCTTACCCAAATTATCGTGCAATTTCCGGGTATGAATTACGCACGGATCTGTTCCCTATCATTGGTTGCGATGATTAACACCAACGAACATGCCAAGACTGACCGCTGTCCAGAGGGAGAGAACCATAGGTATGCTGGAGATGGGAGCGACACAGAGAGCGGTTGCCATTAACATGAACTGCTCCTAGATGACCATTGCCAGACTGGTCGCACGTCTCCGACAGACTGGCAGAACCGCAGACAGACCACGAAGTGGCAGACCAAAGGTCACGACCCCGCAGGATGACCGCTATTTACGGGTACTTCATCTGAGCAACAGATTTCTTACTGTGACCTCATGAGCTGCCAACAGCTTAGGGCATCCGGTCAGCAGACAAACAGTGACCAGACGACTACGACATTATGGTCTCCGGGCTTATCGCCCTTTCAAGGGCATGACCTTGACCCGTCAACATCGACGTGCCAGATTGACGTGATGCAGGCAAACTCAGCGATGGCAACAAAGGGAATGGCGGCCAGTGCTGTTTAGTGACGAGAGCAGATTCCAACTCTTCAAACCTGATGGGCTGACGCGAGTTTATCGACGACGTGGTGAACGTACGGCTCCTTGTGTCCAGGAGATTGAACCTTACGGGGGCGGAAGTGTGATGGTCTGGGGCGGCATTTGCGGGGAACGAGAAGACGGAACTTGTCATCACAACTTGACAGCACAACGCTACATTGACAATATCTTACGGCCAGTGGTTCTTCCTTTCATCCAGCGTCAACAACGGACGGTGTTCCAACTAGATAACGCCACACCCCATAAAGCCCGTATTACAAGAGACTTCCTCAACGCCAACAACGTGACTGTCCTTCCGTGGCCAGCTCGATCACCTGATCTGTCACCCATAGAACATCTCTGGGACCAGCTGGGGCGTCGTCTTCGGAAACGTCAACATCCTTCCTTCACGAGACAAGCGTTGATCATTGCCCTCCGTGAGGAATGGAATCGGATACCTGCAGTCGATGTGAGGACGCTTGTCTACTCAGTTCGACGCCGCATTCGAAGATGCATTGCCGCTCATGGAGGTCATATCCCGTATTGAACGGTCTGGGTCGTCGTCACCTTAAAGTTGTAACCAATGTTGTTGATCGAATACTGGACGAATGACCCCTTGTCAAGAAATGTCCCTGTTGGAGGTCAAGGACTTTGTTGTTGAATTAGTAAATTCGCATTTTACTGTTCTGAATGATGAATTTCTACAATACAATTGTTATTTAACAAATGTTATATTTGGGATAACACTCTCTTAGTAAAGTACAGATTCTAGTACTTTTTTGGGTTGAGTCCCGTCCGGGATTAAACTCACACCTGCCAGGGTGAGGCACCTAATCGCCAGCACACAAAGTCAGCGATCAAACCCACTCAGCCACCGAGGCTTCCACAAAAATGAAAGTCCGTGATCTAGACTACCAGTTGTCGGACTTTCATTTTTGTGGAAGCCTCGGTGGCTGAGAGGGTTAGATCGCTGACTTTGTGTGCTGGCGATTAGGTGCGATTAGTATAACATTTGTTACATTTGACCACTTTCTAAATGGCATTGTGTATTCACAATTGTTATTGCTGCTTCAAATTGTGTTGGTCATATTTTATCCTAGAAATATCGTTGGTAACGTTTCTTTTGGCCGTCAGTTTATTTATGTGAAAGTATGTGTGAAAGACAATAAAGATATTTGGTTTGAGTACCACCACTAGCTTCCCAGGGACCAAATGTCCATTACCAGTTTTTCACTATGGATGCCATGACAGCAACGTTGGAAACGAAACGTGAAGGACTGACGGACGCACGGACGGACGGACAGCACCCATTCCTGAATCCCCCTTCGTGGCGGGGGACAAAAAACCCTTGGACAAAGTGTTTTTGAAGATGTACTGGTATAAGTTGAGGCAGCTTAAGGTAGTAGTTCAGGAGAAGCCAAATACCAGACCTATGGAAAGATGCCCCCAGAGAACAACGTGCAACTGAAACAGTGGCGATGACCTTGCAACTATGTCCAAAGCAAGGACAGCTGTCAAACAGCATGGGGCCACTATGGTTTACCTTATTCACCCCGTCATATTAAAAGTATGAAAACTGTATAGTCTCTAAACAAACTAATTGAAACATCAAAACTGTTCAAATGATGCCTTACAAAGAACCTTGGCATTCCTTGCTGGCATTAAACACTTTAATAGAGCTGATTTGCATACTCACTGCTGTGTATTTAGCAAGACGTCGTCTACCACCTGCAAATCATGTGTTTTTGTTCAGTGTCGGTAAGGATAAGTTAGACATTAGAAATCGAGAAATTATACAAATTAATATAAGAGTACTTGCTCTGATTATTATGATTCAATTATGCCAAGATTATCTACAGAATATTCTGCAGAAACATTTTAATTTTGTATTTCAACAATTGCAACTAAAAAGCATGGGGGATGTATAAGTTTTTTATTAGGTATATAATATGCCTGTCTACATGTTAGAGGGAAACGAAGTGGGTCAGGTAGATGATTCCTCCGGCAGTGTAGATGTGACGTATTTGAAAACGTCTAAACGCAAAAAGCTGTTAATCAATATGACAGTTTGGTTGTTATTCTCCGAACAAGTTTGGTCACTGTCTCTACCTGTATAAAAACAGCCTGTCCTTCCTCTGTATCCAAGCTCTGTCCATCTAAGGCATGTGCAGCAGCAGTGATGCTGTCGACAGTGGAGATGTAGGACTGGAGGTGCCCCTGGAACACCTCGAATTGTGTCTTGCAGAATCTAGGTATTCAAGAACTTCTTTTTTCCGTGATCGAAGACGTTCCACTATGGATTCAACCAATGAGGTGATCTTATCTTTATCTTTCTGTGTCTTTTCCTGTTGCATAAAACAAATTGATGAAGTCGTGTTTCTCAAACGAGCATTATGGTTATACACATGTGCTATTATTCTTATTGTAGCCCATGACCTAAGAACAAGAGGACCTTCCTTTGGCCACTTCTGTTATCAGCTATATTCGGCAAATTTACACATGTACTGACACTAATTTGATTTAACAGCGATCTAATTGGGTGAGGAACACGTCTTGTTTAATGTTAATCGTTTAATGTCAACATGCATTTTCTTACTCGTGTAATTAAGACGTTTCGGAAGGACAGTATGGCTATTTTAAGTACAGTAAACGGTTATACGGTTATAACGAACTCAAAGGTACGACTGATTTTAGTTCGATATAACCGTAGTTCGTTATGAGCATGTATACAGCAAGTATACAGCAAATGACCGGGACCAAAAATATGTTCGTTATATCCGTCAGTTCGTTATAAGCGTGTTCGGTAGAAACGTAGTTTACTGTACCTGTCTTTTCCAATGATCATCTGATGCTTTTTTCAGTATAGCAGCCTCCTTCTTGCGACTTCTTTCAAGTTCCTGCACGCAAGTGGACAGTTTAGCCTGCAGGATGGTTAAAGGAAGAAATACAAAATGACAGAATGTAAATATACCACAATGACATCGTTCTCACTTCATATTTGTCAAATATGTCCGGGAGAAGGCAGCTGTTTCAAATGGCATGGTCAGTTACCGCCAGATTCAAACATTAGTTCCCTGAGAACGGGAAGACACTTTGGAAAAATGCTAGTTAGAAATGAAATCCGAAGACATGCAAGTTGTGGAACCGAGGCGAGCGGGAAAAACAGGCGAGAGAGCCTGCACGTTTGCTGTTTCATTCCTTCTCGGCCTTCGGTCTCAAAAGTTGTTTGGAGAAACAAAATGAATATGCACGAATTTCGCTTAATGTTCTGTGCATGATGATACACGTGAGCAGAAAGAGAATTCCCTCGATTGTAATTTTGGGATTCCCCGACATTCCGTAGTAATAAAAGTTGTCCGCCTCGGTGGGCGTGGCTTAATGTTTTACATTCGTTGGGAAATGAATGCAATAACTAGTGACCAATTCAGCCAATCAGAATGCAGGAATAACAATGAACACAACACAAATGGAGATTTGGTCGCTTTCCTTGCTTACTGTAATAGTGGCAGTATCCTTATAAATGCATGACGCAAAACAAGTTCCAAAAACAATTTGATAAAAAGGAAGAAAATAAGTTACCATCTGAGAAACAGACTTTATTGCGTTATGAGGCAATCTAAATGTGTAAATCAATTTAGCGTTATTATTTGGAAAGACTTTAGTTGAATTGTGGTTTTATCTTCAAATAATGCTTAATTTTCATACAGAATCTCATTAGAAATGCATTATACATATTTAGTGGTCAGTTAAGTATCGTGTCACGCGTAAGGAAGACAGTATCTGGCCATTATCACAGTATAGCATCTTGTTTTTTTCGAACACATTCACGGTATTATTAGACATGGAAACATTGTAACTGTGGTAGCTATTTATTGGGAGTTTCAATACAATTATTGAATTTATCATACTGTTGTGTTTTCCTGTCACATCGTTCCTTACTAATTATCTGGAGACTATCTTTAGATTTAATCTCTGTGATTATTCGTATCCATGATTCACGTCGTCAATTGACATTTAGATAAAACGATATTTCTAAGGGCAAAGTTGGTTCAACCAAAGAGCTATAAGATATAATCGGGTTTTTTTTGTAAATCTAGTGATGTGTTTACCGTCCATGTTCAGGTGGTGCGTAATCAGTCTGCCATTACACCGCTATGTTTGGATTTGAGCACATAATGCTGATACACATGTATTTTATGCACCCCTTTGGAGAGCCGTTTTCGTCACGTGAAGGTTAGAAATAGAAAACATCATACATACACATAAATTAAAGAAGTTCACGAGCACACCTGTGACCCAAATAACCAGGTAAATATGCACAGGCCAACGCTGACAGTGGAGAATTTAAATCGCGCTCGGCAAGTTGGACTTCAGAGTTCCAGGGCGTTAATCATGCAATCATTATTATCTGACATTTTTCGATACCAAATATAAAAAATGTTTTCACACATGAGTGTCTGATCAGTTGTTGTCACCTGCTGTTTTTTAGCTGCCGTTTCTAGGTCCTCTGTGACATGATAGCGGTGTGTCGACAGTATATCTCCACTCTTCACAATGACTTGACATGCCATGCAGTACAGACTCTTTTGCCCCGATGGTGTTTTTCTGGGAGGTTCATATCCACGGGTGGGGGACTGGCGTGAAGTCTCCTTGAACTTTCCACATATATTTGCAAGGGTGAAGTTCTTGGGTAGGCCATCAACACCTTCCAGACCAAAGCTCGTTGTTACTCTGCAGTCAGGACATGACAGCGTGTTGCTTGCCTTGAATGGCTCACCTTGGAAACAGAAGGAGTAGTTTGGTTATTAAACACAGTGACAATGGAGCCTACACAGTAAAGAGTAAAATCATTCAGTGAACAGGATTATGTAGCAACAAATATATATCACCAGACAAGCATTATGAAAACTCCATTACACCTCCCTTTCTTAAAAAAATATTGAAAAAGTATGTAAAATATACGTAAAATAAATCTATTGCAATGAAAAATAGTAGTATTAATAAATTTGACAGAAAATGGAAAGAATTATTAGCCTACTAATTTTATTATATCAGTTCATCCAATATATGTATACTGAACAACAAAGGTTCCTGTGACATTGAATAAGATTTAATGCAAAGTTAAAAGATAAAAGACTCCTGTAACTGTTCAAATGGTTTAATTTGCCATACTGACTTCAGAAAATGCGTGATTTCATAAATGAACATGCCAAAATGTCAATTTACAAATCAATAGCGTGTGTGTCCACCTCTGGTTGCGATGCAAGCAACACATTTTCGTCTCATTGAATGGACCAGGCGTCGCACAAAGTCTTGTGGGATATCTGTCCATATCTGCTGGAGCTTGTTTCGAAGTTCCTGGAGTGTCTGTGGAACACGTGGTTGACGCTCGAATGGTGAGAGATCAGGGAAACGAGCCGGCCAGGGGATGACATTCACGTTGTTTTGTTGAAGAGAATCCGTAACAAGTCGAGCGATATGAGGCCGGGCGTTGTCATGTTGAAAGGTAATGCCTGGGCCATGACGACGCAAAAACGGTAGAACAACAGGGCCGATGATTTCGTCGCGGTAGCGCTGTCCATTGAGATTTCCCTCTACCACTATCAAACGGGTCCTCTGTCTTGCTGTAATCCCACCCCATACCATAACGCTGCCGCCCACGAACCGATCTTCCCTGACACAATGATTGACGTAATGTTCACCTCGACGTCGGTACACTCGAATCCGTCCATCGCTGTGGCTGAGGTAAAAACGAGACTCGTCAGTGAATAGAACTTGTCCCCACTGCATGGCCGTCCAGGGTAGACGCTGTCTGCACCACTGTAGACGTGCTTGACGGTGGTTTCCTGTCAAAATGGGACGTCTGGCGGGTCTTCTGGCGACAATCCCTGCACATCTGAGGCGGCGGTTTGTGAAGATATTCGTCGAAGGCCAGGGATGCTTCTTGCAGTAGCTGTTGCTGGCTGGAATCGATTTCGTAGGTGTGTTGTTCGAATCCAGTTGTCTTGTCGATTATTGGTTACGCGTGGCTTGCCACTCCGAGGATGGTCTCTGACTGCATTCGTCTGTTGCCAACGTTGCCATAAACACAAAATGGTGTTTCTGTGGACGTTAAATTGTCTTGCAACATCACGTTGACTCGATCCTGCTTCAAGCATACCAATGGCTCGAAAACGCTCATTTTCGGACAGGCGTGGCATTTCGTAAACAATGCAAATGGAATCCCGTTAACGCACATGTTTTTATACCCATTCTTGGGTAGTGAAATGCATGGGGCTTGCATAAAAGTCACCTTTTGCATGGAATGCATGCTGTTCTGTAGCAGTTGCGTTTTTGTGACTTGATTCCATACATGTACTACAATATTGAAAACCAAACTTTACTTGTTTAAAAAATACACTAAGATATTGGTGTCACAGGAACTTTTGTTGTTGAGTATATATTACCCATAACTTTATCATGTTTTGAGATCCTATGAATTGATACATATATATACCTCATGTACGTCATGTATGATATATATCAGTTTTTATCAAATATAGGTACATAACACCAAACATTAAAGCCACAATCTTATGACTGATATATAGATTGTGGCTTTAGTGTTTGGTGTTTGTACAACGTTACGTTGTCAGTTATATAGTCGTTTGATACATTTTTGTGCAGTGTGTGTCCGTACTGTAGGAGGACAAAAATAAAAACTCAGGGATTTAAATCGGGAACATTAG